ATGTTATTAGCACGTTTCAGTTACGTGGCAAGGTCTAAAAGCGGATTTTTGGCCAAAAATACGTTTTTTCTCTCTGAACTTAAATTAATAATGCCTAACTATTTAAATTTTATCAGAATAATACCAAGCACTGAAATAACTACTCAAAGAAACCCAGCCAAGTGGCGAGTAATTAGCATTGCAAAAGTAGCCAAAATATTCTCAGAAATAAATTTGAACATTTTCTAAAAGCCATTTGAACAAGTTATAATCAAGATATCAAATTTTGGTTGTAGATCCTTAAAGCAGAGACATTCAGGACTACCTATGCTGGAAATTTTGAACAAAATCCATTTTTGACGAAAATGACAAAAATTATGAAGTCATCAACCTTAAAAGTTTTGGCCAAAATACGTTTTCTCTCTAGAACTTCAAATTTAATGTGCTAATATTTAATTACATCCAGAGATAATACACACAAGCACCAGAAATGACCTCAAAAACCAATAAGTGGCGGTAAGTGGCTGCAAAAGTAATTAAGAATATTCTAAAATCCTTTGAACATTTTTCATAAAAACCATTTGAACTGGAGTTATAATCAAGGTATCATTTTGGTTAACAGATCCTTAAGCAGCACATTCAGGAGTACCTATACTGAAATTTTGAACAAATCCTGCATTTTTGGCAGAAAATGACAAGTGTAAAGTCTAAAGCCTTAAGGATTTTTGGCCAAAAAATACGTTTTCTCTCTGACTAAATTTAATGTGCCCTAACTATTTAAGTACATCAGAATAATACACAAGCACCAGAAATGACCTCGAAAACCATAGATTGGCGAGTAATTGGCGTTGCAAAAAGTATTAAAATATTTTTAAATCATTTTGAACATTTTCAAAGCATTTGAACAAGTTATAATCAGGTATCAGAATTTTGGTTAACAGATCGTAAGGACATTCAAGTGCCTATCTGAATTTGGAACTTAGTCATTTTTTTGGTGGAAATGACGAAATTGTGAGTCTTAAAGGATTGTTTTTGGAAAAATAAATTTCTCTCTGAATTAAAATTTAATGTGCTAACTATTTAGTGTCAGAATATTACAAGCACCGAAGATGACCTCGAAACCCATAAATTGTTTGGTAATTAGCATTTTAAAAATGTAATTAAAATGTTCTAAAAATCATTTGAGCATTTTCTAAAAGCTCATTTGAACAGTTTATAATAAGATATCAAGTTGGTTAACTGATCGTAAGCTTTGTTCAGAATTTTCTTGCTGAGGTTTGAACAAATCATTTTGAGAAATTTAAAAATTGTAGAGATCTTAATATATGAGTTTGGCCATGCGTTTCTCTCTGAACTAAAATTTAATGTGCTAACTGTTAAGTACATGTCAGGAATATTACACAAGATGACTCGAGTAATAAGTGGCAGGTAATTGCATTGCTAAAGTAGTTAATATTCTAAAAATCATTTGAACATTTTATAAAAAGCCATTTGAACAGGGTTATAATCAAGATATAAAATTTTGGTTAACAGATCCTTAAGCAGCACATTCAGGAGTATATACTGAAATTTTGATTAAAAATCATTTTTGGGAATGAGAGAAATTGTAAGTCTATAATTAAAGGATTTTTGCAAAATACATTTTCTCTCTGAACTAAAATTTAATGTGCCTAACTATTTAAGTACATCAGAATAATACACAGACTCAGAAATGACCTCGAAACCCATATAGTGGCGAGTAATTAGCATTTCCAAAGTAATTAAAATATTCTAAAAATCATTTGAACATTTTCTAAAAAGCCATTTGAACAAGTTATAATCAAGATATCAGAATTTTGGTTGGTAACAGATCTTTAACAGCATTCAGAATTCTATACTGAAATTTTTGAATAAAATCCATTTTTTGGCAGAAAATAGTAAAATTATAGAGTCTATAGCCTTAAAAGGATTTTTTGGCCAAAAATACATTTTCTCTCGAACTAAATTTAATGTGCCCTAACATTTAAGTACATCAGAATAATACACAAGCACAAAGTGACCTCGAAAACCAATAGTGGCGAGTGTAATTAGCATTACAAAAGTAATTGAAATATTAAAATCTGAACATTTTTCTAAAAGCCATTTGAACAAGTTATAATCAAGATATCAAATTTGGTTAACAGATCATAAGCAACACATTCAGGGAGTACCTATATAAATTTGAACAAAATCCATTTTTGTATAAAATGAAAAATTGTGAAGTCTATGGCCAAAGGATTTTGGCCAAAAATAACGTTTTCTCTCTGAACTAAAATTTTAATGTGCCTAACTATTTAAGTACATCCAGAATAATACACAAGCACCAAAATGTTATCGAAAACCCATAAGTGGCGAGTAGTAAGCATTGCAAAAGTAATTAAAATATTCTAAAAATCATTTGAACATTTTTCTAAAGCCATTTGAACAAGTTATAATCAAGATATCAAATTTTTTGGTTAACAGATCCTTAAGCAGCACATTCAAGTACCTATACTGAAATTTTGAACAAAATCCATTTTTGGCGAAAATGACAAAATTGTAATCTATAATATTAAAGTTTTTGGCTAAAAATACGTTTTCCTCTGAACTAAAATTTAATGTGCCTAACTATTTAAGTACATCAGAGATAATACACAAGCACCAAGAAATGACCTCGAAACCCATAAGTGGCGAGTAATAGCATTTCAAAAGTAATTTAAATATTCTAAAAATCATTTGAGACATTTTCTAAAAGCCATTTGAACAAGTTATAATCAAGATATCAAATTTTGGTAACAGATCATAAAAAGCAGCACATTCAGAATTGCCTATACTGAAATTTTGAACAAAATCCATTTGGCGAAAATGACAAAAATTATGAAGTCTATAACCTTAAGGATTTTTGGCCAAAATACGTTTTCTCTCTGAACTTAAATTTAATGTGCTAACTATTTAAGTACATCAGAATAATACACAAACACCAAGAAATGACCTCAAAACCCATAAGTGGCGAGTAATTAGCATTGCAAAAGTAATTAAAAATATTCTAAAATCATTTGAACATTTTTTCTAAAAAGCCATTTGAACAAGTTATAATCAAGAATATCAAATTTTGGTTAACAGATCATACGCAGCACATTCAGGAGTACCTATACTGAAATTTTGAACAAAATCATTTTTGTGAAAATGGCAAAATTGTGATCTATGTGTAAGGATTTTTTAAAATTTTAAAATCATTTGAACGTTCAAAAGCCATTTGAACAGGTTATAATCAAGATATCAAATTTTGATTTATAGATCGTAACACTTCAGGTTGCTATACTGAAATTTTGAACAAATCCACGTAAATAATAAAAAATTGTAATCTATTATACCTTAAAGGATTTTGTGGCCAAAAATAACATTTTCTCTGAACTAAAACGTTTTTCTCTCTGAACTAAAATTTAATGTGCCTAACTATTTAAGTACAGATGAAGTTTTTAAACACACACACACACACACACACACACACCAGGTGTAGAATCTCTATCTCTCTCTCACAAAGCCAGGTGTAAAATGAGTCTCTCACAAAAATTGCCTTACATGTGATTAATGGCAGCAGCGTGGCAAAAACGAAAAATGGCAACAATTGCCTTACATGTGATTAATGACAACAGAGGGGCGAAAACGAAAAATGGCAACAATTGCCTTACATGTGATTAACGGCAGCAGTGGGGGGGAGGGAACCAAAAATGGCAGCAGTGGGGGGGAAACGAAAAATGGCAACAATTGCCTTACATGTGATTAACGGCAGCATGGTCTCAAATTCGAGCAATAAATACAGAGTATATTGCATATCTGTGCTTTGTATTTCATAAGATACAGACATCAGGAATATTGAAAATGGAAACCTCAGAAGCTGTCAACAACCAAACACATAATTAATTTATCAGGTGAAAATACCTGACAATAACAATGATGCTTACAATTAGATAACTTACATATGACTTAGAGTAAGACACGTCACGTAAGGCACTTCATTTTTCCAAATGAAATTTCAATTACCTTTTACAATAAACAAAAAATTATACCTCTGGGTGCCGGGTTTGAACCGGAGCCACCACAGTTGGCAAACAAGACTTAAATCTGCAAATAAAAAGAATGGGTGACCAAGAATGGGCCACTGTTCGCATAAAGCTGCACTTGAAACAACCCACAAGTTAAAGAAAAAACACATTTGTTATTGAAGTTTGGAAAAACGTGAACTGAGCAAGAGTTAGTGAAAAAATTACAGATAATTTGTAGCTCTAGAAGAAATACTAACTGCCCATTCAGACCCGAATTAAATTACATACAAATTCTATATAACATTGCATATTGCTCTGTGTGTATTTATGCAGGATGTAACACCACGTACAATACTATACACAAATACTAAACATAAATAGAAATTACCAACCAGAGGAAATTATAGACACTTAGCGAGATCACGGAGGAGCCTTTACGTTGTTAGTCTGGCTGAGGACATACACATATATAACGGTCCCGAGATGTAAGCACACATTTCGGTTTATTTATATGCAGTTTATGTTCAGCTCGATCACACTGAGAGAGACACAGACGAGGACTGAACAAGCAGATATGGAGAGTGTCACTGGGGAATAAGCAGCTGAGGTGGTGTGTGTGTTTCAAGCAAATCATTTACTGTTCCTCGAGCTTCTTAAGGAGCGTCTCGAGAGTAAGGTCCTCCTCGCTGAGCTGGGAGGGCAACGCTTCTTGTTTCTCCGGGATGAAGTGAGAGTCAGGTAACGTCTCTACCTTCTGAATCCACTTCTGTAGTTCCTGTAGTGAGTTCCTGGCGATCTGTGAGGGGGATGTTGAGGCTCATGTGGCTTTAACATGTACTATATATATACTTAGAATTAGATATGCAATAATATACCAGCATATGACTTTATACACTGCAGAAGCAAGCAAACACTTCAGTATATAGGGTGTCGCAGAAAAATGTCCCTGCCTCCCTCCCGCCCTGAGACACTGTGAGCGGGAGGGAGGGAGGGACATCTTTCTGGGACACCCTCATCTCTTTCCCTTCATCTTACAACTGTTCCTCCTACCCATCTCTTCCTTACCCCTTGTACTTCCTTCCTCGCTCCTATCCACCCTCTTTCTTCCTCCTTCCTGCTCACCTTTACCTATCTTCCACCTTCCTCTCTCTCTCTTTTCTTCCCTCTTATCATTCCAACTCCTTACTCCACCGCCCCTACCCTCGTCCTTTACCTTACCTTACATATCTCGCCCTCGAAGGATGAGAGAGGCTCGTGTTTAAGGCAGTAGACGGTTTTGAGTAGGTAACCCTCCGCCTCGTGTAGTTGCTCCAGGAACTCTCTCTTCGTGATTGCTGTGTTCTGGAAGGCCCTGTTGGCTTGAAGTAGAATCGGGGCGTGAAGTTCATAAACCGTTAACCCTGCAGGAGATGGAGATTGGATTTATGAGAGTAAGTGTTTTAGGAGTGTACGAGGATGAAGGGTGTGTTCTGGAGAGTCCTGTTAGTTTATGGGGAAAGGAGCTCGTATAGCGTTTAAGTCTGTGAGGGATGGAAGGGTGTAATGGATGTTGTGAAAGTGTAATACATAGACGGTTATTATCTAGAGTTACTCAATTGTCAAAGACTAAAGTATGTAATAAAATCATAAACCATAACATCTCTTGTCTTGCCATTCTTCAGTGTCACCGTCAACAGGGCCAACGTGCCTCTCTTTCTCTAGTACTTATTTACCTTCCTTTATCCCACTGTCTAGGATATCAGTAAGGACGTACCTCTGAGCCTGGTGATGCCTGGATCAAGTACGTCCAGCACCTGGAGAAGGTCTTTGCAGCACGTCACCTTCCTCAGGAGTTGAGCGTCACTCAGGTCTGTCAGGATGTAACCTGGCAGGCGCCCGTACATCTGCACCAATCAGAAAAGAGGAGGTAGTGCCAGGTGATGTTACATGAAAATCTATGCCAATGACAATGTAGGAGGCAAGTCACTTGATGTATGACGTAAACATCTGCACCAATCACAAGAAAGGAGGGAGTCAGGTAGTATATGACGCACACACCTGTAACAACCACACGAGATGAGGCAAAGTCAAGTGATATACAACGTAAACACTGAGAGGGTCTGAGTTGATACCCTTAATTATATGAATAAACTACGAGCTCAAAACAAAAAAACGTCAAAAAATGTAACGAAAAGTCAACACTGAAATAAAGCACTACTAAAGTACGAAATAGGCAAAGCAATAAAAAAAAAAAAACACACAGGGAACGTTGAAATTTGTTAGAAAATACAAAATTTTCCTTGTTTAAATTTTTTTTCTATCCTCAAATATCAAGTAAGCAGGAAAACACCTAAAGCTGTCCCCCATAACGGAGAGACATAATCAGAGCCGGATTTAGACCTGTGGAGGCCCATGGGCAGCCTCTTTGTGGAGGCCCCCCTCATTATAACTACCCAAGAGGGTGGGGTGGCGAGTGAAGCGAGCCTAAACATCTGGGAGTTCCGGGGGACGCTGTAAGCCCCCGGGAAAATTTTGAAATTTGAACACTTCTTTGGAGAATTTTGAAGCCATATGCAGTTATATTGAGGAAATTAGAACACAGCGCCCTGATGGCATTCGTAATGGAAGTGATAATGAAAAAATTATTTTATTTGTTTTTTTTAATCTCATTTTCGTTATTCCATGTAGTTCATTTTTAATCAATATATGTTTGTGGAATTCTAAATATATTATTAGCAACACAAACAATAGCATTCATTAAAAATATACGGTTCATAGGAAAACCAGGTATTCATGAATTTCAAGGAGTAGCTAGCCTAATTTCTATCACGCTTCTTGCTGAACATAGTTTTACGTGATGGAATAGATAAACATGAATTTTAAAGAATGAAAATAACAATAATCTAAATGAATAAACAAATAAATAAAATATTGTAATATGTGGAGGCCCCCAAATTGTGGAGGCCCCTGGGCAGCTGCCCATTTTGCCCACTCCTGAATCCGGCCCTGGACATTATATAAGCAGCACACAACATTTACCTAAGATAACTCTCTCCCAAAATATAACCAACTTTTAATATGTTGAACCTTATAACAATTTAATGCTAACCGACATTTATTACACAGAACTGACATAGAGAGAGCAACACCTGTTCCCTCCCTCCCTCCCACACTCACCTGAGAGAGGGAGTGCTTAATGCCCACCAGGTGGAAGTGTTGTGGGTGAAAGACGTATTGGTACTTCTTGAAGATTGTCTCCAGCTTCACCGGGTCATCCTCCCCCGCCTGACGCAGTTCCATGTAAACCAGCTTGTTAAGCCGCTCCACCGTCGCTGCCGAAACCTGCAACAGTACTGGGGTGTCATGGTCGAGATACTATACTGGGGAAGCACTGGATGCTCTGTACTGGGGAGTGAGAGGCGCGTGTGTACTGGACGTTGTTAATGGGTGAAGGATGGGTAGATACACTGGTCTGATCAAACAGCATAACTGATCTGATACTATGAATAATCTCAGGGGCAGATCCAGGAATATCAAAAGGGAGGGGTCCAAGAAGTTGTGGGTGGAGGAACATGGTGAGCACAGCGAACCCACCCAGCTGGGAGATATAAGTCCCCGTCCCATCAAGATATTTTTTTTTAACTCTGACCAATACCATGGGCATTTTGAGGCCATTTTGAAGACATGTGCACTTGATATTAAGAGATATTCTGAGGTCAATAGTAATCACTTTTTACTATACAAAAACACCTGAGTACAATACTGCATTAAAGAAAAAGTATTGTACTTTTCTGATGAAAAAGGAGGGTCCGGACCCCCAGGACCACCCTGGATCAGCCCCTGAATCTGACAACACGACTAAGCTGATAGCATGACTGACCTTGTAGCGGCATTTGTCACACTCCCAGATGCCATCGTTGGCAGGTGCGAGGGGGTCGGTACAGAGAATGTTGCCACCACAGCCAGGCTGAGAACACCGAAGAGCCCCGAAGTACATGTTGAGCTCCGTCGGATCCTTGCAACGGTCACAAGCGCAGTCGAAGAACTTGCCGTACTTGAGATGTTTCCGACGCTCCGTGGTGGCCGAGAGCACGTGTGTGTACGTCGCTGTGAGGGAATATATGGATAATAATTACAAGAGGATGGAGAGGAAGGTTGTTACAAGGTGATAAGCTGAATAAGAAGTTGTTCTGTACGGGAAAAAATAGTGTCAGAATGTCTATAGAATAAATGAAATGGCCATAGGGAATGAAAGAGATGCTACAGATAACAGAGAAAGTAAACAGAAGATTGGGAGAATAATATAACCAACTGCTAAATATAATATAAGAGAGACAGGGTAAACTGTCTTCTCTGGGGCGAAGGAGAATCAAAAGCATCATTATCGAAGAATAGACAAATATTAAGTGAAGAGTTGAGTGGATGGAATCACTGTGAAATGATAAGGATGGGAGGCTGAAAAGTGACAGAATGGATAATGATGGTGGTGATGATGATGATGAATATGATGATGATGATGATGGTGATGATGATAAAAATGATGAAGAGTACCAAAAAAAAGTCAGAGAGCATATGTATATATATATATATTCCCCATATAAAGCAATAGGCATTAAGAATAGTACAGTATTTAAGTGTCACAGGGGAATGAGTCTGTTGAGTACACCAAAATACTCCTTGGATAAATGCATCAATTTATATCTGCCAATTTATATTATCTTTCGCCAATATATTACCAATCTCTCTATCTATCTATCTATCTATCTATCTATCTGTCTATCTGTCTATCTATCTATCTATCTATCCATCCAGCCATCCACCTATCTACCACTCTAATCATCTCTCTCTCTCTCTCTCTCTCTCTCACCTGTCAGCTGCTCGCCCTTCTTGATAGGTGTAGAGGCTATAACCACCATAGTCATGTCGTCCATGAGGGTGTGGTGGGTGTTGTTAACGCAGAAGTGAGACATCATGGCACACAGCGGGTAGATCCCCCTCACTAGGTACTGGTCTTGGGTACCTGGAGGAGAGGGGTGTCAAGTGGAAGTGTCAAATGTGAATCAGGCAAATGTTACTTAATTGATGACAGAGAGAGAGAGAGAGAGAGAGAGAGAGAGAGAGAGAGAGAGAGAGAGAGAGAGGAAACAAAATTTGAGGATATTAACAGGTACACAGATGGTCAGAGAAGAATGGCAACAGTAATCATTCAATAGAACTTTATCAAAGCTCTCAAAAGTAGAACCTATCAAGAAATACATAATTCTGGTTTCATCTTCTACAATGGTATAACATCGTTTGGTACATTCCTGAAACTAGTCTCAACAGATATGAAAATTATATAGAGTAATTCTTCTCTACACCTACCCCCCAAAAAATATATATAAGTTTTGACAAGGTTAAAAAAAAGTCTGCAAAATGAGTCACTAAAATGCTACACCCAACAACGTAATATAAAACCTTTAGCTATGGACTGTACAGTTCATGAACTGGGCTGTCATTTTTTCCAGGTTTGAGAGATGATGTAATGCGCAATTTCTGGAAATTCCGAGGAAATTTTCCCGCCACCCAGAAAATTCCAGAGGTGGGGGATTTTTTCCAGCTTTGAGAGAGTCGTCTCGTTACCCGGAAATCTCTCATTGCATCAATTTTTCCGGCTAACGGAGATATCACTGATAATCAGTAAATCTGTATCATCAAAGAATTTTTTAACATATAACATCATAAGGAAACCTTTGAATTTAGTCACCCTTTCAAGCATTTTTGACAAGACATCATCCAAGTTTGACCTCTAACCACAGCATGATCTTGACCTATAGTACACATGACATTCGCTCTTTGGATTTCATCAACCTGCCTGCTGTAACCTTTGACCTGCAGATGGCCTATGACCTGAGGTTGACCCACCTGGTAAATTGCTGCGAACCTCGTGGCAGTTGACATCGAGGATGCCAGTGATAGTGTGGAGGAGTTCTTCGTCGACACCGAGTTTCACCTTCTTCAGGAGGTAGTCCACCACGTTGGTCTGAGGGAGGAGGACAGTGTGGGGATGGATACATCTATCTTAAATTATTGTTATGTTACATCTGACTCACATTACATGTTAATTGATTTTGATTTTACCCTATACTGTACATTGGTGGCATTTTGTTATCTCTCTCACTCTCTCCCATTCTTTCTCTCTTTCTCACTCATTCTCTCCGAGTTTTCATTCTCCTATTTGACTGTTCCTTTCCATCCAGCTTATTCCCCTCTCAGCCTTACATTACTATATATATCTCTCTCTTTGTTTTCAGTGTGTGTGTGTGTGTGTGTGTGTGTGTGTGTGTGTGTGTGTGTGTGTGTGTGTGTGTGTGTGTGTTCCCTTACTCTTAATCTTCCTTCTTCCTTTACTCTCGTTCCCCCTCTCACATACCCTCTTCTTATCCTCTCACCTGCTCTCTCTCCCACAGTTCAGTGCCACGCCTCAGGTCATTGTGGCTCTCCATGGCGATCAACGTCTTCCACTTATCCGGTTCCATCTTAGTTAAGCAGTAACACCTGTAACACAACACCTCGTTATATCTACCTGGAGGAAGTAGCTGTGTTTACCTGTTGGAAGTTGTCAGATGTATTTGTGTAATACGCCAAATAAACAATGTTCCAGATTGTTGGCAAATAATTGACACTGCGAGACTGTTGGCAAATAATCGATACTTCAAGATTGTTGGCAAATAATTGACACTGCGAGACTGTTGGCAAATAATCGATACTTCAAGATTGTTGGCAAATAAGCTATAATCTCACCCACACCAGCAGTTGTTTTATTTGAGTGTACAATTGAGGGAAGATAATAATTCTGATAACCCAGCACCCACCTGAGAGGCAGCATGGCTTCGTACATGTACTGAGCCTCAGAGAAGTCCTTCTGGTTAGGTTTATACCCGGAGGCGGCGAAGGCGTTGCACTCGAGCGGGTGATAGCCACGACCCTCGCACTCTGGCCCACACAACGGCCACCTGCACCTGCAATAGGGATCGTGATTAGGGTAGTGGTAAAGGTAGTTGGAGATGTTGATGGCAGGTGATGAATATGAGTAGTAATGGCTGCAGGTGATGAGCGTAGTACGTAGTGGTGGTGGTGTGAATGACAGTAGAAGTAGTGTGTGATGGAGGTGTGAA